AAACACCATTTTTAAATAAGCAGATGGGTCCGCGTAGTCATAATAGGTGTAAGTCTTGGCTTACAAATTGCCTTGGGCTGCGAGCCATTAGGTCGTCAGTTGAGAGTCTTACTTACAGAAGTAGTCAACTCGCGTTACCACTTTTGGCCACTTTTGGCGTCATCCCTAGCTTTCTAAAGTGTTTTATGCTTGAGGTGTAGGCCCAAATCGTGCCTCGGTGGCTACATCCTTTTGAGCTGCTGGTTCTATGATATTCTAAGTTGTACACAGCTCGATACAGATCTCTAGGGTAGTAATTGTAACTTGATTCTGTAGGTCGCTTAACTAATATTACAACATTTTAAAGCCGAGTTACGTTCATGAAGACTTGCAGGTCGAGGACAAACCATCTAGTCACGCAAATTTTTTTATGGGCAAGAATTCTTCACTTAGCGTCTCTTCTGGTTATAAACCTAGGCTTCCGGGGAATTGAATCCTTCAGCCGGCTAAGTTTTTTTAGAAGAATGACTATTGTGGCCAATTCTGGGAGTCGTCGAGTGCAGGTAGTCGATGCATTTAGGGGGAACTGAACAGTTGTAAAACTCATCCACATATGGATATCCCAGATCAGTTTACCCTCTCCTGATGGGATAGTACATGCCATGTCTGGAAGCACAAGGACGTCTTCTGTTGCCACAGAGGTGGTCAGTTTGTTTATGCATTCGGCCTAGGCTTGTGAATAATTCCTTCAATATTCATTGAATATAGAGAAATGTATTAACTTTGCTTGTAGGCAGTAATAGTATAACAACTGATAGTTCTCGGCATGAGAGGTTTTGTTCGTCGAGCTACTTGAGTCTTCAAACTTTATTTTCCATAAACAAGGTTTAAGGAATGATGGGAGGTCACACGTAGTACTTTCTCAGGTTGTAGGCAATCCACTATTTTTCAATCTCTTTGTCTCTCATAGTGGTGAGGGTGTAGCTGCCCTTTTCACCTACTCAGCTGATTTTGTACGGACCTTCCCAGATGAAAGCCATCTTCTTGGAGCCTTCCCGACGGACGATTATGAAGGCTTTTCTAAGGACTAAGTCTCCTGGTTGGAACTGCTAAATCTTGCCCTCTTGTTGTAGTTGGAGATGAGCTGCTAATGATAGGCCGCAATGCGGGTGATAACTTTCTTGCCCTCTTCCTTTGCCAAGTCTAAGTTTATGGCCATCTCCTTCTTGTTCTGCTTGAAATTCAGTAGTACGGTGCTGATGCTTGGCATTATGACGTTGGGAAGGATGATTGCCTCAAAACCATACACTCAGGAGAATGGAGTTTCATCGATTACTCGTCTCTTAGTGGTGCAATATGCCCATTGAACACTGGGGAACTCATCTAGCCACTTGCCATTCTTGTTTGAGAGGGACTTCTTGAGGCAATCGAGAATGGTCTTGTTGGACCCATTGGCATACCCATTGCCTTACGAATACCGGGGCGTGGACATGTGCTGCTTTATACCATATTTTTTGAAGAACTTCGCCAAGTCTTTGCCCACGAACTGTGGACCATTGTTTGTAACGATAGAGTAAGGGATGCCAAAGCGGCATATGAGGTTCTTCCATATGAAGCGCTCTATGTTTGTCTGGGTAGTTGTATTCATAGGTTTGGCTTCGACCCATTTCGTGAAATAGTCGATTGCTATGATCATCATGCCTCTACCAAGTCATCACTCACTGCATGAATGGCCAAGGGCTTGTCTGCAGGTGGAATTCGCTGGCAGGTAGTGCGGACATGCGTTTAAAGCGCTGGTAACTGTCGCACATTTGTACATACTTCTTTACATCATGATGCATGGTTGGCCAGTAATAACTAATGTTAAGAGCTTTTTGTGCTAGAGAGTGGCATCTAGAGTGGTTTCCACACATGTCTTTGTGGATTCAGCTAAGAATCTTCAAGTCGTCGGGAGGCGATGGTAGCAAAGATGTGGTTTTGAGAATAATATACGAACGAGCATGCCGTTCCACATGTAGTAACGTGCTACCTTCATCTTGAGCTTCCTAGACTTCAGTCTATCAGCGGGGAGCATTCCTTTGACTATGTGTCGATGATATGATCCTGCTAAGTCGAAGTTGTGTTGATTTGCGCCATTTTGACTACTGGTTCTTTATCTATGCTCGGCTTTTCCAAGTACTTGACTGAGATTGAGCGCCTAAGCTGCTAAACGTAGGCCTTCTAGTGCGTTTGCAAGGACATTTTCTGCTCGTAGAACAAGAGTGAGTATGTACGCCTGGAACGTCGTTAGTTGCTCTCGTACCTTCTCGAGGTATCATACCATCCTTGGATGCTTTGCTACGTACTCCCTTAAAGTTTGGTTGGTGATCAACTGGGAATCAGAACAGATTGTGAGCTTCTTCACCGCCAGGTCCTTCGCCAATCAAAGACCTGCTAGTAAGGCTTCATACTCTGCTTCGTTGTTTGACTCCTTGAAACTTAGAGTGATCGGTTACTCGAGCATCGAACCGTCCAGGGTAATGAAAACTAGGCATGCTCATGATCCTTGGTAGTTAGATGATCCGTAGACGTGTAAATACCAGAAATCACCTACAATGTTCTTGGCTACTTCTATGACGCTTTTGGTTGAGTTGCTGCGTCTTTCAGGCATGGGGTGAATTTTACGAAGTTTGCCAATGCTTAGGCCTTTATTGCCGTGCAGGGTTGGTATGCTAAGTTGTATTGGCCAATTTTCAATGCTCACTTCATCATTAGTTGAGAAGCGTCAGGACTATGCAAAACTGATCGTAGTGGGTATTGGTTATGACAATGATCGGTTGCCCTTGAAAGTAAAGTCTGAGCTTCCAAGCTGCAATAACTAGCGCCAAAATTAGCTTTTTAATCTTCAGGTATTTGGTTTACACATCGATGAGAGCTTTGGATGTATAGAATACAAGCAGTTGGGCCTCTATCTCTTCTCGTATGAGGGCATAACTTATTACTACTTCTGATATTGCCATATAGATGTACCAGTTCTCCGCTGCTTCTGGCATGGATAGTAGTGGAGGTGAGGTCAAGTACTGCTTCAGGTCCTGAAATGCTTTCTCGCACTTGTCGTCCCATTTTCCTTCTGCGCCCTCTTGATTGCCTTGAAGAAGGGTTTGCATCGGTAGTGGATCGCAAGAGGAAACGATTGAGTGTAGTTGCTTGTCCGGTTAGACTTTGGATCTCCTATAGAGTTGTGGGAGATTTCATGTCCAGAATCGCTCTAATCTGCCTTCGATGAGCCTCAATTCCTTACTGGGTTACAAGGTACCCTAAGAATCGGCCTAAGGAGACGTCGAAATTGCACTTGGCTGGGTTGAGCTTCATTTTGTACTCTTGGAGGATGTCAAAAGTCTCTACCAAGTTGCCAATGTGTTCTGACAACTGTTTGCCTTTCACCATTATGTTGTCGATGTAGATTTCCATGGTTACTTTGATCTGCTTCTTGAACATCATGTCTACAAGTTGTTGGTAAGTTGCCTCTACGTTCTTGAGGCCAAAAGGCGTGATCTTGTAGCAGTATGTTCCTTGCTCGATCACAAATGCGGTTTTCTCCTTGTCAGGCTCATGCATGGTCATCTGATTGTAGCCTGAGTATGTGTCCAAGAAACTGAGCAGCTGGTTCCTGGATGTTGAGTCAACGAGCAGGTCAGTTCGGTGAACCGGGTAGTTGTCTTTAAAGCACACCTTGTCGAGGTTGGTGTAATCCATGCATACTCTCTATTTGCCCTTGTCTTTTTTCATCACCAGCATGACGTTGACCAACCATGCTGAGTGCACAACTTCCTCAATGATGCAGCTTCCAGTAACTTGTAGATCTTCGCCTCAATAATCGCTACTCACTCGGGTGTGAAAAGTTTTCTTTTCTGGATCAGAAGTTTAGCAGTGGGATCGATGTGCAACTTGTGACAAGTTATTGCTGGATCAATACTGAGCATCTCAGAGGGTAACATGCGAAAATGTCATGATTTTCCCTAAGGAAAATTGTGACTTCCTCATTTTTCATATGGCATAGACGTGAGCCAATCCTAGCCATCTTCTCTAGCTAGTAGGGGTAAAGAATGATGTGCTCGGCATCCTCTTCGGGTTTCCATCCTGATTCATCTGTCAGGGCATTGTCGACCTTGATGCCATCTTCTTGACCTACCTACTGTAATTACTATTTGGCGGAGGTAGAATCGTTTTTCTGCACTTTAGCTACTACTGCTGAGCAAAAGACTTCTTATTCAACTCCTTGAGAACTTGTACAATGCATTGCCGAGACATGGCCTGGTGCCTTTTATCTCTCCAACAACTCCTCCCAAGATGCGAAATCGGATCTTCTGATACTCGATCAAGGTCACAGCTCCAAACTTCACTAGCCAAGGTATGCCCAGTATCCCATTATGGGGAGATGGGTTGCTGACGATCATGAAGGTCTACGATGAGACAATTGGAGGGTTGGATACATCGAGCGTGATTCTACCAATGGCATTTGAGGTAAGTCCATTGAATCCAGTCAATACCTCTACTCTGCGCTTGATCGTGCTTTCCAGGCTTATCTTCTAGATGACTGATAGTTGTAGGATGTTGACTCGGCTGCTATTGTCCACCATAATTCTATCAATGATGGTGTGAGCCAGTTGAGTAGAAATCACCAAGGCGTTGTTGTGGTGAAAGTATACTCCCTCATCGTCTTGCTCGGTGAAGCTGATGATTGGTCCAAGTATAACATCTATGGCTTGAACTTGAAAGACTAATCTTACCTGTTGGATCTTCCTCTTCTTGGAACTATTGGTGGCCCCTAGATACCCAGATTCGGCAAACATGCTGTTGATTGGGATCGTCTTGGCTGGGGGTTCAACTTTGGTTTATGATTCTCGCCTTGGCCAGGCAGCTGGCCTATCGACATACTGGTCACACTTGCCTTCCTTCATAAGCTTCTCAAGGTACTTCATCCATGTGGTGCAGTATTTGGTTGTGTGCCCCGAACCTCTGTGGAATTTGCATTACTTTGGTTAGTTCATCTTGGATGTGTCTCCCTTCATGGGCTGCGACATCTTGAACCACGACTTGTTCCTAAAGTCGTGAAACATCTGGTTGATTGGGACCGAAAACTTAGTGTACGTCTTGGGCTTCCTTTTATTGATGATTGGTCCTTGTACCTGTTTCCTGGCTTGTCCTTGTTATTGAGTAGTTTATCGCCCGCCTTATTCTGAGTCGACTCTACGTCTTTGTGCAGCTGCTCAGGTAACTTCTGAGATTGCTTGGCCTCATCCCAAAGGGAGTGCTTTTCTACCAAAGCATAAGAGTCTGCTAGGCTCAAGTTCTCGCCCATGATCAATTCTCCGAAAAATGGGTGATCTATTGGGAGCCTATTCCGGAAGGCTAAGAATGTTATGTTGTCATCGCATCTGACGATCTTCGCGTTCTCTGCCTTGAACCTCTTGACGTATGTGTGGAGTGACTCCTTTAGGTCCTTCTTCATGTTGAAGAGGTGGTCAGACTTCTTATTGATCGAGTGGTAGGATGAATATTCCTTAGTAAAAACCAAGGAAAACTCACTGAAGTTCTGGATTAAACATGGTGGCAGGGTGTAGAAACAGTCTTGCGTCTCATCTTGGAGCGTTGTGGAAAAGATTTTGCACATGAGAGCTTCATTGCTGCAATAAAGGATCATGGTGCTTCGGTAGTGTATCAAGTGTCTGTCCAGATCTTTATTCCCTTTGAACAAGTTAAAATACGGCGGGCTGAATTTCCGCGATGGCCTTGTTTGCTCGATCTCTTCTGTAAACGGTGACATGCTCCCTATGAAGGGCATCGTCAGTAATATTAATGCGCTAGAATCCGCGCAGCTACTTTACTACGAGCCTTTGTACTTCCTCCTGAATTTACGTTTAGTGGGGACATCAAAGCCTCCAACTGTCCCCGGTGCTAACTTGTTGGTCCATGTTGCTTTTTGGCATGTTGTGCTTATTTGTGTCGTGGTCGCAGTGCACGTGGTTCATTCTATGCTACTCGTCATCGCGCTTGGCGGGGGCTGACAATGGAACTTAAGTTGGACTACTGTCGTGCTCTTCTTGGTCCATCATGTGGCTGTTTACTCTGATACCTTGCGAGAGGATCTCCTTGTGGGCCTAACATTATGTGGACGCTTCACCTGGAAAGGCCTGAGTGTTTATCGGAATGTGGACCCAACCTCGAATGCACACTAACTCGTGAGCTAAGTCAAGATTGAACGCTTCTCTGTCAATGAAGCGGGAGAAGATGTTTTCCCGAGGGCCTAAACGAGAGTGCACACTACTTAAATGCATGGTTCTTAGCAGGCTGAACGGCTCTTTACTAGGACGTCATTGGAATGAGTCATGTTCTTCCACCCCTTGTCCAGCTTCGGGATACCTCGTCTGGGGCACGCTGCGTCTCGATTCGTTCAAAGGGCTGGTTCACTAAGGTGGTTTCCTGCGCGAGTGTGCTCGTCAAATTGGTGACCTGCTAGGGCAGTTGGTGATTGTCATTCGGATTGAAAGAGTCCAGATAACGGGCATCTCCATGTGTGGTGGAAGTGTAGTGGACTGCATGTACAAAGTTTGAGCCCAGAAAGGGCATTCTTGCATAAAAGTGGGGTTAAACTAACCCTGGATCGATCGCGAGACAGTAGTCAAAATCTGGATCGCTTGAAGTGGCCTTGGATTAGATTGGGCCGCCGACAGGGTAGCCGGAGCGAATCGCGGGACGGGCCAACATGGCTGGATGGTTGGGCTTTATGTATAAGCGCATTGGGCGATGCTTGGTCCTTGCGAGCTTGGGTTCGGCTTGTAGTGGGCTCGGCTCGACTGGTAAGGAGTTGGGCTTGGGCCACCTACTCGTGGGCTGCTCCTGCTGGGTTCCCGTGGGCCTAAGCATGGGCCTGGAATGCCTGGGCTCACTGGATGGCAGCTAAGGTTGCTGCAATGGACTGGGCCTGCTGTAGTAGCTGCCATGTCGTGGACCTCTTACCCTTGGGCTGTAGGCTCCTGTGTAACGCGATGGGTCATTGTAACACGCGTCTAGGCTCCGACTTGGGCTGCTACTGCAATGGTCCTTACCATAGGCTGTAAGGTGGTGGCAGCAGTGGTGTTATGGCTACGCGGTAGTGGGGCTCCTCCCACCGTAGCGTTGAGTCTTAAGGATTGCCGTTATGGGACTATGTCCTCATCTCTACTCTTCGATCCAAATCTTAGTTTTCGTTGTGGTTTCTGAATTTCTTACCATTGTATCATTTCTCCAGGGATTGATCAAGAAACTTTTCTAGGAAAAATTAATTGATAAGGCGTGTGAGAAATTCAACGTAACATAAAATTCAAGAAACATATGCAAGAGGCTTTTTCGAGTATTTGAATCAGCTCTCAATGAAAATACCAATTTGTCGTTGCAAATTTCCGCCGTCTTCAATCTTGAGGAAAATGCACATGCAAAACAATCAACACCTTTCATCAAGAATTCAAGCCTCACGCACCCACGAGTTGGGGGGGAAGGGTTAGGCCAATAGATATCTGATGCCTAAGTTACTTTCTTTGAGAAGAATAAAGTATTTGGGGCTTTTAAGGGTAGCCAAGGTCTCTGAAATTTGGTAGAATATGGGGTATATATAGGGGGAGAGGGCCAGCCATACTGTTAGGGTTTTACCCTACACAGGCGGTATCTTATTGGCCAATGTTTATGGAGAAATATTCTCAAGATATTAAATAGGAAATAATATCTTGAGATAATGGAGTAATTATCCCTAATTGATTTAAATTGAGATTACTTACTTGAATGGAGTCAATCTTCAATTGGGAATATATTAAAGATATGATTTGGGTAATTAATCCTTATCTTTAATGCTTTAACTTTTTCTTACCAAAGGTAGGTGAGCTGTGGGCGAGTATTCAGCTGCTGAGACCTTCAAGGTGTCACTACACGTGGGAGTATCTGAGGAGCCTGCCCATTTATTAAGGGCAATCTTATCTTTCTTGGGGAAAAATCCACGTGTCGCCTCTAGAATTTCTGGGATTATGTTAGGCTCAACAATAAGTAAATATATAAAATTAAAATATTTTAAAGATCTATGAGATCGGATTTGAAATATTTTAAAATGTACGAGATTGTAAATGAACACAAACATGAAGGGCAAGATGTTGTATGAGATGCGAAGGGGCTTCCAACGGTTAATTAATCACAACCAGTTCTTTTTTCTTTTCTCGATCTCTAAACCAAAGAAGAAATGAAAAATTGAGAGAATATGAGATAATATGAGATAATACGAATTGCCATGTTCTAGATAATCCTCACAAGTTGACAACTTACAGTTTTTAAAAAATGCTAAATAGCGGGTCCCTGAGATTTGCATAACTCATCACTTTGGTCCCTAACATTTCAAATCGATAAAAGTGGGCCCTGAGATTGTCCACCATCCATCATTTTGGTCATTCCGTTAAAAACTCCGTTAAGTGTCCCGGAGCTCTTGGCCGGAAGTTTGGACAATTTTCAAAGTTTCGTAACCAACGGCGAAGGCAGTAACAAGGCTAGGGTGGGCTCCTCACCCACCAAATAATTTTAGTTTAGCCCACCCACCAAATAATTCATGGCTCCTCTATTGTTCGTAACTCAATCGTTTCTTAACCAAATTTGACCCAATATATCAAAATGAAGATAGGAAAGTGTAGAATACAATTTTACCTATTTGGAACCCCAATGGCTGCCAGAGATAGACGGAAAATAGCCTCAAAGTTGACTGGTCCAAAGAAAAACTGGAAAACTCGCCGGAAACTGGGTAAACTTTAAACGTTCATAACTTCTTCAATACTCAACGAAATCAAGTGATTCAAAAACAAAAATCATACTTCTCGACGAGAGGAAGAGAATGGTACGTTTTTAGATTGTTAAATCACCGTGGTTTGACCAAAAAATAGCTCGAAAGTGGCTAACTAGAGACCAAGATAGCCATTTTTGAGCTGTTTTCCAGCCAAACCATGGCGAGTTAGCCGTCGAAAAACTGGAAAATAGCTCAAAATTTGCTGCCTTGGTCTCGAGTTAGCCACTTTTGAGCCGTTTTCGGCCAAACCACGACGATTTAGCCATCTAAAAAGGTACAATTCTCTTCGTGTTGTCGAGAAGTATGATTTTCGTTTTTGAATCACTTGATTTCGTTGAGTATTGAAGAAGTTATGAACGTTTAAAGTTTACCCAGTTTCGGCGAGTTTTCCAGTTTTCCCTCCAACCAGTCAACTTTGAGACTATTTTCCGGCCATCTCCAGCATCCATTGGGCTTCCAAATAGGTATAATTTTATTCTACACTTTCCTATCTTCATTTTGATATATTATGGGTCAAATTTGGTTAAGAAACGATTGAGTTACGAAGCTTTGAAAATTGCCCAAACTTCCGGCCAAGAGTTCCGGGACACTTAACGGAGTTTTTAATGGAAGGACTAAAGTGATGGATGGTGGACAATCTCAGGGACCACTGTTATCGATTTGAAATGTTAGGGACCAAAGTGATGAGTTATGCAAATCTCAGGGACCATTTTGGCTATTTAGCCTTTTAAAAATAATCATTCTTCAAATGAATTTCACTCTATCTTACCACATGGGAACTACTTGTCTCTTCCTATCTATTCAATTTACACTACCGCAGTTCTCAATTGCCACCAATTTGTCTCTTTCTATATTGTAAGAGCATGTTCAAGGAAATGAGGTATAAATTAAGACAAAATTCGACATTGACAACCTTAGCTGACATTAATTTGTATATCCATGTATTCTTAGATTTAGAAGTGGTACTTAAATTTTCACTCAAATTTAGATTTAAGTCCCTAAACAAAAAGTTCGTTAATTGAGGTCTCATAAATTAACAAAATGTGCACTATTCTATTGGTCCTTCCGTGAGATTTTCGTCAATTGTATGTAAAATAACATAGAACGCACAATTAGTCCTTAAACTTTGACCCTAATTTAGATTTGGTCCTCAACAAACATTTAGAATTGTAATGTGAGATCTACATGTGTGCCATATCATCAGCTTAACAAAAGAAATATACAAAAGTTAGTGGCAGAAACTAATAGTCCACACTTTGTTAAATTTATTGAACTGACGACAATTCCTCAAAGACCTCACAAACCAGAACCAAAACTTGTTAAATTTGATTAAAACGATTACTTTGTTATATTATAAATTTGCATTATTATTTTTTTATAAATATAATATTTATTATATTTTAATTGCCGTATCCATTTTTTTGAGATTTGCCGTGTTGCAGTATCGCTGTAACCATGTTCATATCCATGCAATCTAGCATAGAAGCATTGAAAGTGATTTGCCAAATATTCCGTACTCCAAATTGATAGATTACTATTGAATAACTAAAACGATGAGAGGAAAAGATGCCTTTGATGTTACTTGGTGAAAAAAAAAAGATGATATATTAAGAAGAAAAGAAGACGACGAAAGTAGTTGGAGCGTCACTTTTGAAAGTGATGGAGTTGGTGGGAATGACATCATATATAATAATGTGATTAGCTCATATAATGTTGAGCTAGCAACAATTGAACCATGCGGTTGCTGTCGGTGGAGAGATCACCTTTCGGTGAGATGCATTGAAAGATGCAGACCATGTAGAGTGCCATAAAAGAAAAGCAAGAGTAGGCTTGCTTTTTTGACTTTGGGAGCATTTGGGTATGTGATAGGATTTTTAGTACCTATAAAAAGAAGGTTAAAATCACACAAAATACTTGCAAGAATACAAGAACATTGTAGTATAGATGTTCATGCAAGGTCGTTCTCCACAAGGACTATTTAAATCATT